CGACTCCGGCATGCACGACTATGAGTACCCCCCCCCCCCCCCCCCTCCCTCCCTCCCTCCCTCATCCGCTGTCTTGCCTGCCTGTTTGTCGCCCCGTTATCTCTCTCTCTTCGGCTTCTTGCTTTTCGGACCGGGCCATCAGGCTTCTTTGTCGGCCGATGGTTTGCAGCCCGAGTTCTTGTTCCTATGCGATCACCTACTGGCAGATCTGACCAACAGGATAAGCGCTCAGGTAAACACCTGTTGAGAACGGCTCGACGGGCTCGACTCATACGGTCGACCCAAGGGGTGTCGCTTCATGTTGGAGACAACAAAAGAGAGCATCGAAAACATGAGACACATGTCTTCTTATCCAGACCGCTGCACTCCAGGCACTTCGATGTGGTGTGTGCGCTTTGTTCTTTTCCCGGCATCGACCGCAAGGACGCCAGTCTTACGTGCGTTTTGTTTTCTTTGCATCGACCGCGCTTATTGGCTGACCAATGAAAATGAAAAGGCGTTTTGTAGCGGGATACCAAACATTAACACTTTCGAATCAAACGTATAAAGTTGTGTGTGTGTTGTCCCATCTACTCTGGGCGCCAACTCCGGGCGTCAGCGTACACTACACATTTCTGTATCGTTCGACGCACCAGCCGGGGCCACACTGGAGGAAGGTCACAGAGGAGTTTCCATCCAATCCCACCACTCCTGCTGAGGTACATACCTTCAAATTTAACTCGAGAAGTTGCTGCATTCTTCCCTCTGTTTGTGTTTACTCGCGTCCAATATATGCGTTCTTCACCCCGAAATTGCGAGTGTGTCAATTCGGAGAAATCTCGAACGCACAACATTGAGCCACAGAGATTTTTGCAAGGTTGCCAATTGGATCACGGGGTCAGTGTCGGGACCAGCGGGAAAATACACGCGAAGAAGCTCTCTGAGTGTGTCTTGTGCCGTTTGTGGTCCATCTTTTGCGAACGCTTGGGGCTGCTCCGTTAGTCATGCTTTGGGTGCACCAGCTGGGGTCGCACAGGAAAGCTTATCTGTCGTGCTAAGGTTAAATCTGGAGAGGGGGTAGCAATCTAACGAAGTCTTGTTCATCGGTCGTAGTTGTCGAATTTTGAACTCTTTTTTTATCCACTGCATCTTCAATTCTCGTCTATTTCAGTTACTTTTCTTCTGTTCTTCCTACAGTCTCTCAACCTCTCCTCCAATAGTGTCTCTTGGTATGCTTTGCACCTATATACATCTACACTATGGTTCGTAAATTTCCGGGACCCGGCCCCCTTGCTTTCCACCAGGACGTTGCCCCGCCTAACTCGGAAACGACGGCGCCTGAGGGGTGCCTGGAAGGGGTGTTGACGCTGCTAGGGTACTTCTGTCTCGACAACAGAGAGCACCAGGAGGTGCTTCGAAGGGGGGGTCCGTTTCCTGCTATTCTCTCGCGGCTGTGCGATCTCCCTTTCCGGTAAGAGTGACCCCGCCACGACCCTTTTTTGCACGTTGGTGCACGCGGGGTGAAACCGAGCTGTTATTTTCAGGATTGGAAACGTCCGAGGTGACGCAATTCGCATCGCAAGGTACCCAGCTCGCACAACGACAATACTTCTCGAACCCTGCGGACGCCTTTGCTGTCTCTGAAGGCGGGGCGTTCTTGTTCTTGTTTCTTTTGATAGCACGTGGCCGGTCTGTGGAATGCATGCGGTACCGCACGTCGGTGTGAATGTAGTGCTAGGGAAACTTCCGTCGTGCGCCTTTCAGGGTAGAGGCACGATTTGGCACTCGAGAGAGAGTAAGACTGGGTTTTACGCGCGTCCGATGTATGAAGCGCGTTCTCCAACAGGCCTGTACACACACTTGACAAGTCCTCGTAAGATTCAACGCTCTCTCTCTTTCTCTCCCCCCCCCCCCCCCCCCCCCCCCCCCCCCCCCCCCCCCCCCCCCC